TCACTTTATTGATTTGATTTCACTTTATACTTGAGATTAAAGATAGTGGCGTCAATCGGGAAGCTGTTGAGCGAGCTGCAAACACCTACTCATATCAAAATGAAAAGCAGTAAGTGAAACTTAAACTTGACGAAGCGACCCTCTATCAAAGAAAATCATTACACGCTAGCGCCTTGTCTTATATATACAAGAGCAGATTTAGGGGCAGAAAGAGATTCATCCGAATCTTCCTTCGCTGGAAAATTACAGTGTATAAATAAGGCAAAATTTAGTTTGTACCTCTATATATATTGTATTTTGAATCCCCTTGACATAGCCCAAAATCATAGCTTAGTGGTCAAAGAGGTTCAAAATCTTTGTTAGGTTGTTGGTTCCATTCCCATTGGGCATAGTTTCTTTTAGTTTTTAATTTTTTTTTTAATTTTTTAACGAAAATTGTGCCTCTGCCACTGTTTCTATGGTGTCAAAAACCTGCAAGTCTTGATACGACTTTAAATTCCTCTATGAACACCACAATATTCGTATTTTTGGTATTAATATTCCCAATGGTGAATAGATGAGAGAAGAAAAGAAAAACAAAAGCGTAATCTCTTTTCATCTCTCTTGCTTTAGTAATTACCAAGGGGAGAATTCATATTCATAAAGAGAAAACACATCGAAAAAGGTAAGTTGGACCATTAGGCGGCCTTGCCTCGGCAATATAAGAAAAAAAAGATTGTTAAATTCTCGTTGAATATATGCATGGAATTGCAGACAAGCTCGAAACACTCATATCTTACTCTCCACGTTAATATAGTACACATTTCCCATACCCCAAAGTACAAATCTCCACTTCAAACCATTCGTCACTTCGATCTTGAAAACTGCATTGAAAATGGTTAAACTGCCTGTTTATTTCCTCCGTACACTTTAAATTGTTTGCTTTGGACTTTTACGTCCCTTCAGAAATAATCAATAAAACATAAATTTTACTACAATTTTATCCGTAATAATAATAGCATTTTCAAAAGTTTTGGGAAAGATACGAGGAATGAGTAATTAATGTTAAGGGTAAAACAGAAAAAAGAAATTGTCTTTCTCTTGATTTAATACAGTAAACAAGTAAATATGAAAATATATTTTCATTTGCAACAAAATATTTTTTTGTACGTTGGTAAAAAAGGGTTTATTGAATAATAAAAGTGAACGGAAGAAGTACATAATTACATTAGAAAATGTAATGAACTCATGTTATACACCCTTACTGCTAGTAGATACTTCATTCGTTCATTTTTCCTTGTTCATTATACTAAAAATATATTTTTACTTTTACTTTTGTTCATTTTAATAAATCAAGAGAAAGACAAATAAAATTCTTCTTTTTCCCTTATCATTAACTACTCATTCCCCAAATTATTTTTCAATATTTTTTGAAATGCTATCGTTATTATGGATAAAAATGTAAAATATATATTTCATTTATTTATTTTTAAGGGAAATGTAAAGTCAAAAGTGGACAACTAAAAATGAACATAGAGAGTATATCAAATTTTGTTCTTAACCCTAACGAAATTCCAATTTAAAGTATGAACGGATGATAATTTTAATTACCCCATAATCAAAAGTATAATGGTAAATTTGAACCATTGTTTCGAAGTACTATTTTGACAGTAGAGTTCACCTAGTCAATGTTGAACCTCCGTTAAAATCAAGAACAAATATGAGACGATTTGTTAACAAAAAGTATAAAATTAAATGACCTCAGAGTACAATGGAAGAGGGATTAATTTGTAAGTTTCTTCATTTAAAAATTACTTCCTCCTATCCATATAATTAGATTTTTCTGCGTTCTTAAGAAAGATATTTAATAGCTTTAACTTTAAAAATAAATTGTCTAAAATTACTCATCATGTTTCTCCTTAAATATATGTGACACTAATTAACATTTCATTCATTGGAACAGTAATAATATATTTTGGGCAAAAAAAGTAATGAAAACGTTATATATTTCAAAATAAACTAGTTCAATTTACTAAATCATTAATATTTGAATCCGGAAAAAATATTTACAACAAATAAGCTCTTACCCACACAAAATCAAATTGATCATATGATTTCACACTTTTTGTCAATATTTAATTGTCGAAAATTCAGGTCGTCGAAAAATGACTACTGTTCGGCGGCACTAAATATCTAATGAATATTATGAGAGGTTTTTTTTTTTCCTTCAATATTTCAAGAGTTTCGAGATCTTAGTACTACAAATATGACTGCCACATGGATCAACACCAATTTTTATTTTAAACAAAAATTTACCATGGGAATGCATGCCAGTAAACTTGGTCCCCTTGTGTAAAACTTATTTATTTGTTAAACTTGGATTTGAAGGTTAAAATTATTCTTGGGAACCCTAATCTTATTACTTTGACTTGGGAATGGTAGAAGTTTTTAATGTTTGTGTACTTTGTACCAAATCTTTGACTTGTGTACATGTGCTTTCCCTATATAATCGACTTTCTGTTTTCTTTGGATATTTGGAAAAGAAAAACAAACATACCCTAAATCGGAGAAAGTAATTACAATGTCAGTACCTATTCGAGTTATAACTTTATTGTTGCTCCTAATCCTCATTGCTCAAAGTCTCTCTTACACAACTTCCTACCAAGGTAATTTCTTTCACTATTTTTCTATATCCTCTGCTGGTTATTGTTTTGATATATGTTCATATATCTATTTTTTAATTTTGGTGATGTTGTTATTTGTTTCATGGTTTCTTTCTATGGCGCTGACATATTGTCTCTTTTCGTCTTCTTGAGCCGAGGATCTTTCGAAAACAGCATCTCTATCCGGCCCCTTGGGGTGGGGGTAAGGTCTGCGTACACACTTCCCTCCCCAGACCCACTAGTGAAATTTAACTGGGTCGTTGTTGTTGTTGTATTTTTCTATTTCCTAGCTAGCTTTTGCGGGAAAAATAAGTTTTTATGCCTTGTCATTAGTTAAAAACTAAGAAGAAAATATATTTTTTTATGATTTTTCTGTGTAGGTAGCAATTTTGCAACCAAAAGATGCAACTTCATCCCAAACAGTGAGGTTTGTTTGTATACGTAATTTTCATTCGGTTTAAATCATTTTCCATTTTGTATATCATAATGAAATTACTTTTAACTACTAGCTCTTCAATGTTTCAAGTATCTGCATATTTTTAGGTTATGTAAATATTCTTTTCTAAAGCTATGACTTATTTACAGGTTACTAATCTTGTTTTTTATGGACGGTTACATGTGGTTAATATTTAGATGACCTAATAGTGTAGAAGTTTTTAAATGACCTGATTTTGTTATAAAAGATTGATTTTACTCGGTGTATAAAAGTTAAACTCATTTTCTAATTACCCTTTGATGGGATGCATGCAGCGGCTATATATAATAAGAGAAAACAAGTTGAGTGGACGAAATTTGGCATTTTCCGAGAAAGTGAAAGAAAATATCACTGTAGAAAGCAAGCAAGCAGAAAATATTGCAAATGTAAAAGGCCAAGAGATTACAAGAACAAGACGTTTGATTTCACTGGTTGGAGATCAGAAAAAGATGGGTGGATATGTAGTATTTACTGCAGATTACAAATTACCAAGGCATCATCCTCCTAAAAATAATTAGGAATATGATGTTACTATGATATACAATATGGTTTAACTACCTCTGCAGCTAATATACATATCTTTGTTTTCTCTATTATAGCTTCTTTTTATTTTCTATACACTTAAATACTAAAATACTAGTGCTCTTTGTATGAAAACAAATTTTGATCGAACGGTGAACTATTATAGATATGTGCTCATGCATCATGATTCTCATATGTTGAAATGATTTTATCTTGTAATTAATAAGGCTAGACTATGATTTGATTATTAGAATTCATACAATTCAACATAGTATATCAGAAGCGCAGAGATTTCATAAAGAATGTGACATATGCCAAAATAAATGAAATAAATCATCCATTATTATTTTTAAAAAAAAGGCAGCCCCGTGCACAAGCATTTCGCATTCACGCAAGGTCTGGGAAAGGATCGCACTCCAAGGAGGTGTCATGTAGGCAACCTATTGATTCCACCGCTCGAACCCGTGATCTATAGGCCACATGAAGACAACTTGACGATTGCTCCAAGGCTCTCCTTCTGAATCATCCTTTATTAAATGTAAAATTAAGTAGTTCACTTATTTTAATAAATCTTACTTGATAAAATACCATAGTACTGAATCTAGGTGTTGATCGCTTGATCTTCACTAAACATGTCAAGTGGTAGTATATATGAATTCAGGTGATATGCCTGCACAAATAGGACACTTCTGTGTCATTCTTGATTTTTTTTTTTTTCGTGGGTAAACCTTCAAGTTTAATAAGTGTTACCTGTGCCCCTCGCTTACCATATGAGCAATATTTCTTATTTCTTACCTTAATAGTTTGTTCATGAAAAAATCAAGACCATCTATTTCAATATCAATTTCCTTTATCAATTCCCTATATATCAATTTGGGCTCAATTCCCTAGCCAGTTTTCGGACTGGTAATTGAAAAATAGTCAGCTTTTGCAAAGTTATTAAAAATAGCCATTATTTTGCTGCAACACGAAAAGTTTCAGCATAATATACTGGAGATTAGTGCACATGTATATGAATTTCCAGCATATTATGTTGTAACTCCAACACGCGAAAAGTTCCAATATAATATACTGGAGATTGGAGCACCTGTGTACGAATTTCCAGCATATTATGTTGGACCGGTATATTATACTTGAATATTTTCTTGATTTTGAACCGTATTTTCATTCATATTTATCTTTACATGAAAAGTAATTAAATCTTAATTACTTTTGAAATTATGACTATTATTTAGTGACCACTTGTAAATTTGGATATTTTTTAATTTCTCCGCCAAATATCCTACACATGACATTTGAGGTCAGCATCTACGTATATCGTCTAACGGCTAAACCCCACATATTTATGTCGGAATCTACTCTTTTTCTATTGCAGAATTTTCATACCAATAACCACTGGTACCTACCAAGAAATTTCTATCTTTTTGCACCACTAATATTCCTCTTTCATTTCCAAATATCAAACATCAATTTAACTTCTTGTCTGATCTGAAACTCAAACATGTCAAGCTCTAAAAATGGAGTCCATGTCTTAATTTTTCCCTTTCCAGCACAAGGTCACATATTACCCCTTCTTGATTTCACACATCAACTTCTTCTCCATGGTTTTAAAATCACCATTTTAGTCACTCCTAAAAACCTCCCAATTCTTGATCCTCTTTTATCCACCCACCCTTCTGTTCAAACACTTGTCTTTCCATTTCCCGGCCACCCTTCACTTCCCGCCGGCGTTGAAAACGTTAAAGACGTTGGTAACTCCGGCAATGCTCCGATCATTGCTGGGCTCAGTAAGCTTCGTGGCCCAATCTTGGAATGGTTTAAGGCCCAATCGAATCCTCCTGTGGCTATTGTCTATGATTTCTTCTTGGGCTGGACTCAAGATTTGGCCCAAGAACTTGGTGTACCTGGTATTGTGTTTTACACTTCTGGTGGTTTATTGGTTTCTATACTGAGTGAAATTTGGAGGAATTTTGGGGCTTATAGAGATTTGAGCCTTATTGAGTTTAATGGGCTGCCTAAAAGTCCAAGGTTTGTGAGGGAACATATGCCTTCAGTGTTTCAAAAGTACAAAGAGGGTGACCCAACTTGGGAGATTGTGAGAAATGGGTTTATTGCTAATGATAAGAGTTTTGGGTCAGTTTTCAATACTTTTGAGGCTTTGGAGAGTGAGTATTTGGGCTTTTTAAAGAAGGAAATGGGCCATGAGCGTGTGTATTCAATCGGGCCTATAAATTTGGTTGGTGGGCCTGGTAGAATTGTGAAGTCCAATGTGGATGTTGGTGTAAATGAGAGAATTTTCACTTGGCTTGATGAATGTGATGATGGGTCTGTTCTTTATGTAGCTTTTGGTAGTCAAAAATTGCTAACAAAGGCCCAAATGGAGTCTTTAACTATTGGGCTTGAGAAAAGTGGAGTGAGGTTCATTTTGGTAGCTAAACAATTGACAGCCCAACAATTGGAAGAGGGTTATGGATCAGTGCCAGAGGGGTTTGAGGATAGAGTCTCAGGGAGAGGCCTAGTTATAAAGGGTTGGGCCCCACAAGTGGAGATCTTGGGCCATCGAGCTATAGGCGGGTTTTTGAGTCATTGTGGATGGAATTCTGTATTGGAAGCGATAGTGGCGGGTGTACAAATATTGGGTTGGCCCATGGAGGCGGACCAATTCATTAACGCATGGTTGTTGGTGGAGAACATGAAAACATCGGTCCGAGTTTGTGAGGGCGCAGATTCGGTCCCCGACCCGATAGAGTTGGGCCGGAGAATTAGTTATGCAATGGGTAATGACTTGTTTAAGGAAATGGCAAAAAAATTGAGAGATGAAGCACTTGAAGCCGTTAAAATTGGAGGAAGCTCTAGAAGGGCTTTAGATGGGATAGTGAGAGAGTTGTCCCAACTTCAAAGTTGAAAATTCATGCCAATGTACCAAAAATGTGTAGTTGGGCCAACTCTTAATCAATTTGGATGGGCCTATGTCTCACACTTATGTGCCTGCTTAAACTTCAATGTAATTGTATGTGATGGAGAAAAATGAGACAAGTTGATATTGTCCATATTATCAAGATATCTCATTATTTCTTTTAAAGTGTTAAAAGTTCAATTTGTAGATCGCGGAATTTGGAAAGCAATGAACTTTGTAGTACGAAAACTATGTTGTTACGGAGCATTCTATTTATATAGGTTGTGTTTCAGCCATGTGCTTGTATAGTAGATTCAAAAATTTAACTTCTATGGCCCTTTACAAATACATTATCGCTTTTTGGTCAAGTTCACTTCATTTCTCATACGTCACAAAAGACTTTGGCTCGTAAATGTGTGATTTGTCTAACTTGCCCAAAGTTGGGTAGATTGAGTGAGTGGTCTATTTCAAGAGTTTAAATAGATGTTGCACAAAATCAACACTTTCAAATGTTAGGTGAGCTTTAGTATTGGTCCAAATTAGGGGTGGGCATAAAATCCGAAAAATCGAATTCCGAATTCCGAACCGAATTAATTTGGTATTTCGGTTTCGGTTTTTTTCGGTATTTCGATACAAAAATTTTGATATTTCGGTTTGGTATACGGTATTAGATTTTTGGTATTTCGGTATACCGAAATACCGAAATAATTAGCCAGTAAATGGTTGCGGTATTGTGTTAGTTTGTAGATTTTGAAAACTATTGAAGCATGTTTCCCTAAGTATTTTGAGTTCTATCTACCATTTATTTGAAATGAGATGTTCTTTCCAGGTGAATGTTCATTATAAGACTTATTTATTCCTTTTCAACAGTAGTTTTTCTCACTGTTGAACTTGATCTAATTGTGGTTTCAGCCTAGAAACTTTTCCAATCTCATGAAACATGAATATTATTGCCATACAGGGATAGATGAGGCTGATGACTTAACAAGCCATATCATTCGAAATTAGTTATTGGTTTAGCTGATATAGTTAATCTAATAAATTTGTATCAAGATATTTCACAATCACAATCTCTTATGCAGAAGCCTTATAACATAGATTTGGTTTAAATCGAAACCGTACCGAACCAAAATAAGAAATATCGAACCGTACTGAAATATTTTGGTATGGTATTTGGTATACATAATTGATAAACTGAATATCGAACCGAAATTCTTAAATACCGAACCGAAATACCGAATGCCCACCCCTAGTCCAAATTGACTCTTAAAAGACTTTTAGCAGAAAGTAAAGAAAAGAATAAACAAATGGAGTTGAATTTTTTTTTTTTTTTTTTTTTTTTTTTTGTNTTTTTTTTTGGCCGTTTGTATAGCATGCCATGCATCTAACTAATTTGACTATATGTTATAAAGATAACAACAAACTTCAAAGGGTAAGCATTTGTTGAAAAAACTTCTATATTTTCCCCTTCATATAGTCTTAGAGATAATGTGACTCACGTTTTTCTTTTTCTTGACACGATATGATAGTGAGACGATAATGGTTGACAACAAAAATTTGGAAAATGACAGAAGTAGTCAAAAGGAAATGGAAGGGAAAATACTGTAAAAGAAAGAATACACTAACACTCTAGGAATAAAACATATATAACCAGGGGCGGATTCAATATAGAACTATCGGGTTCAACTGAACCTAGTACTTTCGACGCGGGCATTAATTTACGAATAAGAAATTACTAAAGTTATAATAAATGATAGATATGAATCCATAATTTTAAATGTTGTACTTAGTGGCGAAGCCACATGGTCATAAGGGTCGTCAATTGACCACCCTTCGTCGAAAAATTGCATTGTGTAAATAGGTATAATATTACGTTTTAGAAATATATAACACATATTGAACACCCTTTGTCGGGAATTTTTCATTTCTTTCAAATTTAAATACCCTTAAGGAAATTTCTAACTTCGCCACTAACTGAATTCTTAAAACTAAAATTCTAGATCCGCCTCTTTATATAACATACTAGACGTATAAGTAAAATATGAATGATAGTTTAAAAAGTGAACATTAGAAGGTAGACAACTTCCCAGAATCAAGAAATGTAGTGAGAATCCTCCGGCCTCCATCATCAACTAGAGGTTTTCGGTTGGAATCTGAAAAATGGAGGAATTCCCGGTAGAAAGCAGTTTCTTATTAAATATCACACGTGGTACAAATCTGAATTAATCGAAAACTAGGGACAATAAGTTCCAAATATCACATAGTTATACAAGAAACAGTAAAGAAAATTATACTTTGACAACATTCCATGCAAACAAACAGAATGAGAATAAAATGAAAAATCACACAACATGTGGAAGGACAAAAAGGGATAAGAAAAGGTTGAGATTACTTCAAGATGACAATGAACAAAAGATTTCCGGTGCCAATCCGAATTTAGTCAGGCCCCAATATAAATATCCGACACCGAATAAAAAATTACCACAAAAAAATGAACAAAAGGTAAAACATTAATTTTACTTTTTATACATATATATAGATCAAATATTATTTTTTGTACATATATATTATATCTTGAGTATTCTTCGCGAAATTTCTAGTTGTTTGTAATTTTTCAAATCCCCATCAATTAGTTGTAAGATGAAATAGAAATTAGTTCATGAATTTCTCTAACAACTATTCACATGAAACTGAAAAGAAAAAGCTCTAAAAATATAAAAATATACTTGAAAAATGTAAACAATAAAATTATAACATTCACAAGTGCACTAACACCTAGGTCAAAAAGGGAAAAAAATGTCATGATGCAAGATTATAAATTGGTTCCCCCTTAACTTAACTACTTAGGCCCACAATGTTATGAATATTTGCTTTAGAATGGGGCCATTTTTAGGTTCTTTTCTGACTTATGAATTCTGTTTTAGAAATTGTCAATCAATAAGTTCTTTAATTTTGTGCTCAGTGTGATTATATTGTTCATCTCTTTTCAAATGCAATCAACTGATTTGATCTTCTCAAATATCAAAGATCCTTCTGCTTCCTTTGACTAACATTTAGTTACTGTTCTAAACACATCTTAATTACTTTAGCCTTTAGTGGCTATACCATGTTAAAACCTCATGATTATTACTTTGATTTCACTTAAAATCATTCACACAAACCATCAGACACCAAAGTGGTTAATTCATAATCTTTGTTGAGGTTAACTTGCAGACATCACTATTACATAAGAGTTTGTAAATTAAACAGCATTAAGTAATTTTAAAAAACAAATAGTGGTGACCACCGACCGGATAATCTTATGCACACCTCAAATATTTTGTTCGATCTTTATGCAGCAGCCCATACCACTAGTGATACTGTTCGCTTTGGACCTAGACCTGCACGGCTTTAAAATGCGTCACTAGAGTCTAAGTCATATTTACTTATATACCCAGCATCTTTCCCGTGTTTTGTCGATGTGAGATTCGCCTAGGGTGTCACACACCTCCCTCCTCCCCCCTAGTGCACGCAGAAATTTAAGTGAGATCTAATTTTTTTTTGTGTTGTTTTTGTATAACTAGCCAAGTGAGCAAAATACATATGCTGATATAGAACCTGTATACAAATGTTTAAAAGAGATTTATGAAGTGAAGGGGGAAGACATTATATTATATGGACAATCAATTGGAAGTGGTCCAACTCTTGAATTGGCCACAAAATTGCCTAAAATTAAGGCTGTAATTCTGCAAAGTGCAATACTTTCTGGACTTCGAGTTATGTACCGTATAAAGTATTCTCTTTGGCTTGACATATACAAGGTTAGTCAAATTTTCAGTTCAAGATTTATTTAAGTTTCCTAATTTATTTGTTAAAGTACAGTTTTTTTTATCTGATTTCTGCAGAATATTGACAAAATACCATATGTCAGTTGTCCCATTCTTGTGATTCATGTAAGTTTCCAAACACTGAACTAGTATAATAGAATTACTATTTTCGGTTCGAGAAGGGATGACCTCCTTAGTTATTAGCAGCCAAACCCACTTTATTACGATGAAATTTTTTTTATACATAGTAAAAAAGAGGTACTCAGGTCAACTCGCTTAAAAAAAGTAGATATTCAGTTGCTGTTCCGTAAGCCCTATTCACTCCTAGATGATACGAGGAATGAATCTCAGCAGGGGCCCATCAGCCCCATCTTTGAAAAGAGAAGAAAGATATGCAGCTTGCTTGCGGCTTTTAAAGGGATCTTTCCTTCCTTCTCTACCTACTTCTCAATACCCTCTGCCCCTTGGAAAAGAGCCCGAGGCACCTCTTTACTGATAAAAAGAATAGATAGAAAGAATGGGTTGGCTTAATACATGANGGCGTAACTGGTAAAGTTGCTGTCATATGACCAAGAGGTCACGAGTTCGAGCTGTAGAAACAGCCTCTTATAGAAATGCAGGATAAAATTGCGTACATTAGCCCCCTGTGATTTTTGTCCTTCCTTGAACCGTATAGCGGGAGTTTAGTGCACCGGGCTACCCATTTTTAATTTTCGGTTCGTAATATTAGTGGTTTTGATCTTAATTTCTGATGCACTGTCAATTTTTCTTGTTTTTGTGGCATGCCTTAGGCACACAGACTTTGATTAGTTTTTAGAACAATAATTAGTTTAAACATATTAATTAGCTGGCACACAATATTTAGTGGGATTAAATAGGCTTATGACTACAAAAAAATGTAGCCCGGTGGACTAAGCTCTCACTATGCGCGGGGTCCATGGAAGGGCCGGACCACAAGAATCTATTTTACGCAGTCTTACTCTGCATTTCTGCAAGAGGCTGTTTCCACGACTCGAACTCGTTACCCCCTGGTCACATGGAAGTAACTTTATCACTTACGCCGAGGCTCCCCTCAGGCTTATGACTAAATTATGGATAACTGCATGTAGCAACCCCTTTGGCAGGGTACTAGTTAGGAAAACAAATCTAATTTCCTACTTACAAAATATTAAAAGAGATATTAATAAAAATATTT